CATATGTGACGTTACATTATATTTCTAGTGGACAGCACTGGACAATAATCTCTAAGATCACTTATATCTCAAACATTCAATTTTATTATTTCTTGATGTGAGCAATATAAGAAGAATGGAGAGAAATGAATGCTCCATGGCACTAGTTAGAAGTGAAATGGAAGAGAAAAAGAGAAGACAAAAAATGAAAACAGACTGAAATTCCAAATACTTGTGGTTTATATTTTTGTCTCTTTACCAATCAATTTCTGGAGTTGGACTTTTTTCCTTTTCTAAAATGCTGAAATATATCATACACAGAAAAGTATATAAAACATATATGTAATCCTAGAGTTGGACCTTTCAGCTGATAACTGGCCTTGATGAGCTCAATATTGGCATGGAATCTTTCCCTTTCAAGCAACTTCACAAATATTAACAAACATAATGTCTCCTTACTCTAAGAGTAATTATTAGAAAGTGAAACATCACTTACCAGAAACAAAACTGAGAACCAATGGTTAACCACCCAGTTTCCCATTGTCAAGTGGTGGTTTGGAGCCTCTGTAGGCAGCAGGGAAGATTCAGCAACTTGGATTCTGGAGAGATTCTTCAGGGTTGGCACCTCTGTCCAGCTCAGGGACTGTGAATCTTTAATATGTGAAAGATGCACACCTACCCACAAAGCTTTCAGGAATGAATACATGCACTCTGCCTTCCTCCTCTGGTCAGAACTATGTTATCAGCTTTGGTAGACCAGCCCTACCTATAAGTACCACAGGTGTTTTCCCTGGTGGGGTTTTATCCCTTCAGGAAATAACAATCTTCTTGGGTGAGAATGTTCTCTCCCATCAACTTATCAACATGATTTAATGTGAGGCATTGTCTTCCTTGATAAGACATTCGCTAAGGCTTCTCATAAGGAAGATTTTAGGCTGAGGCTATAAACAGATGATCTCAGGAAAAGCAGGGCAGAACGCACGCATGTTAAGGAAGCTGCTTTAAGGTGGGCTTTCAGAAGAGCTGCTGCAGCTGCCTGCTGCAATTTGGACCTCAGCCTGGCTAGCTCAGAAACTTTGTTTACCAGTTCTCCTGGAAGATGATCTGGCTCTGGGGAGCGCTTGACTGGTTGGAAGGACAAGTGAAAAGAATGGCCACATAAAACAAAAGAAAATTTAGCAGGTACAAATGAACACCTCGGTCCAAAAAAAACAGAGGCAAAGTATTCCAAACGAGAGAGGTGATTGTATTCTAGTATGATGGATTAGCTAGAGTTGTGTGTTCAGTTCTGGGCACTGATATTTTTCCTTTTCTAAAATGGTGAAATATACACAGAAGAATATATAAAACATATATATGTAATTTAAAAAATAATTTTAAGGAATGAATAACTATGTACTCAGTACCCAGGTTTAAAAAATTGAATATTTACTTCCAGTATCTTAAAGTCCTCTCTGTGTCCCTCTGTGATCATGATTTCCCTTCTTCCCCAGTCTCTCCCCCATCAGATGTAACTACTATCCTGAAATTTGGAGTAATCATTGACCTGTTTTTCTCTACAGTTTTACTAACTAAATGCATTCCTAAACAACATATTGTTTAGTTTTTCCTGTTTTTGAACCTCTAAGTAAATGGAATCTAACTGTTTGTATGTATATATGCTCCTGTGATTTGCTTCTTTCACTCAACATTGTGTCTCTGAGATTCATACATGTTGGCACATGTAGTTCCCACAGTTTGCGGGATCTCATTTCCCAGAGCAGGGATTGAACCCGGGCCATGGCATTGAAAGCCTGGAATCCTAACCACTAGGCCACCAGGGAACTCCCAGTTGAGCATCTTTTAATTCAACTGTTGGCCATTTGAGTGAGTTTTCTTCTTTGAGAGGTGCCTAGTCTAGCTTCTGGCCTTCCTTCCTTCCTTTCTTTCTGGTGTGATTTCCCAAGTCTTTATTGTGTGGTTACAGAGGATGTGGAGATTGGTTTCAGAAGTTTTGACATGGTGGGAAAGACGTCGTATTCCCTGAGCTCTTCAATGTGTCTGTAGGTTTCACAGTGCTTGGCTCTGCATCCTTGTTTGGCCATCTTACACCAAAAGACTAAGTTTTGGAAATCAAAAGTTCAACCTGGCTTCAGCCCCTCTTGCAAAGGTGATAGTATGAACTTGTTTCTTTCATTTTTTCTTCTCGTTCTTTTTCTTGATGTTTCATCTTTTGTCCCGTCTCATTATGGTTCCTTCTCTATATCTTTAATTGTAGAAGATCTTTTCTGCTAGTCTTTTGTTCTTCTGATCAATAATTTCTCTGTAAATAATTGTAATTTTGGTGTGTCCATGGGAGGAGGCAACATATGTATATGTATAACTGATTCACTTTGTAATAAAGCAGAAACTAACACACCATTGTAAAGCAATTATACTCCAATAAAGACGTTAAAAAAATGAGCATGAGGGCTTCCCTGGTGGCGCAGTGGTTAAGAGTCCGCCTGCCGGTGCAGGGGACACGGGTTCGTGCCCCAGTCCGGGAAGATCCCCCATACTGCGGAGCGGCTGGGCCCATGAGCCACGGCCACTGAGCCTGCGCGTCCGGAGCCTGTGCTCCGCAACGGGAGAGGCCACGGCATTGGGAGGCCCATGTACCGCAAAAAAAAAAAAAAAAAATGAGCATGAGAATAGGCTGCCCTGTAAAGTATTTTGTGCTGTGGGTTGAAAGCTTAAATAAGTAGTTTTACCTAACTAGTTTCAATTCTACCTAAATGAGGAAATTATAGAAAAATTATTGGGTGAAATATTGGTCAAATAGTATCAGGATCCTTTTACCTTCTGTAAACACCAAATAATGTACTGTCATCAACAGGGAAACCTTCACTCAGATCTCTGTTGCTTGTCTGGCTATGGAATTGCAACTCTTTGTACATAAATATGAAATGGATGGAAATATGACAGATTCATGGTTCCACTTCTAAAATAAGAAAATGTTGCCTTTAATGAGACCAAGGCAGATGAGAGGTAGAGGAGAAAGTATAAGTAAGTCAGGCAGGCAGTCTCCTATGTTGTATAATTTTTTGAGAAATTCAAAATGACATTCCTCTTCCCCACCCCACTAAAATACAGCCTTTTCATTAGTCTGTCATAGGGTAGGAAATTCTTACCATTGGAATTAAAAAGCTATGCTCCCAGAGGCTATAATTAAATTCCATTGTTATCTTGTACTGATGGAGGGGTGGGGGTGGGGGATGAAGCCTCTGCTCTAAGGAGAGAGAGGGAAGTAAGGAATCAACCCACTATCACCTGTAACTCATATTTTCACAGAAGGCAGGATCCAGAGAGAAGGGGACCTATAATAGATTCCTGGGGCATCTGGCAATAAGGAGTAGTTAGAATGGGGTACTGTAGCAGAGGACTTTGGAAAACAGGGGTGCATTGGGTGTTTGGAGGTGGACTGAAGCCAAAGTGAATGCCGGAAGACCCACTTGATCCACCTATAATGCCCTCTCCATACCTACTGAATCAGAATTTTCATTTCAACAGGATCACCAGGTGATTCATGTGCACATTAAATTTGAGAAGTGTTGCTCTTACAGAGTCTGCAACTCACAAGGGCTCAAACACTTAAGCAGGTTGGGAGAAAGATTAAATGGAAAAAAAGTTGGGAATTGGTCTCACAAAATGGTTTAATTAGATTCCTTTATTTAACAAAGATTTGTCCTTTAAGAAATGGTTTAGAAACTAAACTTCCTTCCTTCCCCCCTTGCTTGAATCTTCCCGGATCGCAAACCACACACAATCCCCCTTTTTTTTATTAAGGAAAAGCCTCAGTTTAGGTGAAATAAACATCAAGATTTTGGGCTGGAGCCCTTCTTTTGATTGTTAAGGAAATATGAAAACAAACAATAATCATAAAACCCCTAGAGACTTTGTTTAGCTACCACTTTATCTTAGCACCTGTCAGAGGTCATACAGCTGAGAGCTGGGAGGTAGGTGGCAGGTCAGATCTCAAAGTGGACTGCTCTTAAAAAAAATAAGAACAAAATATAGTCATTGCTCCAACTTAAGGCTCTTACATTTAGAAATCTCAATTGGAACTCAGCTTAGGTCCTTGGCCTTTTCTGAGCAAGCTGATTCAATGAAAAGGGATCCCCTATTTTTCCTAATAGGTAGTCCAGCTAGGCCCGTTAATGTGCGCCTACCAGAAGGGAAAAAAACTAGCCAGGCTGGAGACAGAGCAGGTGGCAGACAATCTTTGAGGAAAGATTGAAAATGTGCCTCTGCCTTAGAACTGACCATTCTTCACTCTGATTTTTTGCTACCCTCAGGTGGCTTCCTGGTAGTATAAAGAGAGGAAAAACAGGTAACTTTGGGGGAGACGAGGAATATTATTTTACTGTTTTATAATTGGATTATAAATTAGTTCATTTCCAAGGGGGAAAATGAATATCTTGAGGAGTTTGGGGTAAGTTCCATTTTCTCAGGGAAAACTTGATTCTACTGGGCTTTCCAGAGACTAAATCAGAGAATCAACAAAGTAAGCATTTGCTCATTCAATGTTCACTCAACAAACATTTATTAAATACTTACTCTCTAACAGGCACTGTGTTAGGAGCTGATGATACAGCAGTAAATAAGATATACAAGCTCCCTGTCCTTATGGAACTTATATTTTGGTGGGAGAGACAGATTAAAAACAAATAAAAAGAAATATACTTCAGGTAATGAGGAGTGCTATGAAGAAAATTGAAACAGGGAAGGGAATAGACCATGATGTGTGTGGTGGAGGGGCTATTTTAGATAGGATGATCAGGGAAGACTTCTTTGAGTAGTTGACATATGACACTTGTATTCTGAGAAGGGAACAGTCATGCTTCTTTGGCGTTCTAGAGGGAGAACTGATACATATAAAGGACCTGAGGTGGAAATGAGCTTGGTGTGCTAGAGGAACAGCAAGAAGGCCAGTGTTATGGGTTGAATTGTGTCTCCTCTAAAATTCATATGCAGGGGAATTCCCTGGCGGTCCAGTGGTTAGGACTCAGCACTTTCACTGCCGAGGGCCCAGGTTCAATCCCTGGTCAGGGAACTAAGATCCCACAAGCCCTGTGGCGTGGCCAAAAAAAAAATTGTATGCAGAACCCCCAGTACCCTAGAAAGCAACCTTATTTGGATGTAATTCATTAAGATGAAGTCATACTGGAGTAGGGTGGGCTTTTAATATGACTAGTGTCATTATAAAGGGAGGAAATTTGAACACATACATGCACACAGGGAGAACACCATATGAAGATGAAAGCAGAGATCAGGGTGATGGTTCTATAAGCCACGGAATACCCAAGATTGCCAGCAAACCATCAGAAGCTAGCGGACAGGCATGGAACAGATTCTTCACAGCTCTGAGAAGGAAAGTCCCTGTCAACATCTTGAACTGGGACTTCTAGCCTCCAGAAGTGTGAGACAACAAACTTCTTTCTGTTGAAGCCACTCAGTGTGTGGTACTTTGTTATGGCAGCCCTAACAAATGAATACAGCCAGTGTTTCTAGAGACAAGTGAGAGAATGGGGTAAGAAATGAGTTCAGAGAGGTAGGTAAGAGTCAGATTATCTAGGGTCTTGCAGGCCTTTGCAAATGTGATGCAAATAGACCTAAACCCATTGTTTTTAGTAGACTTAGGGAGCCTCTAAAGATTAGAGGTAAGTGAGGGCTATGCCTCTCCCACAACCTCCTTACTAGGTAGAACATTACAGTTAAGGTAACTGTCAGACTAAATTCTGACACATGCAGTTATTAGCAATCAGGGGTCAAAACAGTCACATAGCCTCTTCTTGTAAATTGGGTGAAGTATCAATACATACTCTCTGTCTGACCTTTAGGAACTCCAGCAAGCTGCTTGCATGAAAGATTTACCTGAAACAGATGGCCTAATAATATGGTAACGGGATCAACCTATCTTCTGGGTGGAGCAGGAAAATCTTCCATTAAGTGATATATATTAGTTATCTATTGCTGTGCTACAAATTAACCCTACAATTAGTGCCTTAACAACAAACATTGATTATATCACATAGTTTCTGTGTGTCAGGAATCCAGGATCAGCTTTGTTGGCAGCTTCTGGCTGGGAGTCTATCGTGAGGTTACAGTCAAGATGTTGGCTAGGGTTGCAGTCACCTAAAGGCTTGAATGGGCCCGGGGATCTTCTTCCAAGGTGGTTCACTCATATGCCTAGCAAGCTAGTTTTAGTTGTTGGCAGATCTCAGTTCCTCAACACATGGCCCTCCATTTCTCATAACGTGCAAGCTCAGAGCAATGATCCAAGACAGAGCAAGACAGAAGCTGTAATGTCTTTTCTGACCCAGCCTTGGGAGTCACATTTGGTCATTTCCATAATATTCTACCAGTTACATTACAGTGGTTACATTCTTCCCTATTCAGTGTGGAAAGGGAGTAACTACACAAGGAAAGAATCACTGGGGGCCATCTGGCAGGCTGGCTATCATGTAGTGGGATACAGGACCACACAGAGTCTGAGGCCTAGAATGCCACTCCAAAGAGTACTGAGCTGTTGGGTTTGCTTGTCAGATTTTTATATTCTGATCATGCAAGAATGGAAGCACCTGGACAATATTTCTAGCCACTTCACATATTTTGAAAGCAATTCATTTCACCAATGAAATCTATTTCTTACATCTTTTATGCTGATAAGTGGAGTCTGTGGTGCAAGGTTTCCTAACCTTGGGTCCTGGGGATAGAATCCAGGGGGTTCTGGGACCTTGATGGGAAAAAATTATGCCTTTATTTTTTTTTTGTTACTGAATGTAGTCAACAAACCACAGTCTTATTAGTGACTTTGTCACCAGCACATATCAAAGATATTTTCATATCACATTATAGCTATTGCCAATATCTTAAAAGATCATTAAATTCATTACTATTTCAAAATTATGGTGATTATTAGACCTGCTGCTAGATCTTGTTATTTGCTGGGCTAGTAAAGAAATATATATATTAATATGTCAAAATTGTACCTTTAATATTTTTTTCTATTTCTTTTTTTATTATTATTAATTTTCATTGGAGTATGGTTGCTTTACAATGTTGTGTTAGCCTCCACTGCACAACAAAATGAATCAGCCATACACGTATGGATATCCCCTCCCTTTTGGATTTCCCTCCCATTTAGGTTACCATAGTGCAGGGCATTAGGTAGAGCTCCCTGTGCTATACAGTACGTTCCCATCAGTTGTCTATTTTATACATAGTATCAGTAATGTACATATGTCAATCCCAGTCTCCCAATTCCTCCCACCCCACCCCACCCTGTATCTTTAATATTTTGATAATTGCATTTCAACACAATTGGTTTTAATTGTAATCTTATGTGTTTTATCTTGTTGTGCATTAAAAAAATGACTCTGAATCGGGTTCACCAGTTGGCCAAAGGGGCCCATGGCACAAAGAAAGTGTAAGAACTCCTGCTTTAGCACAGGTTCAGATAGGAAAATGTGAACATGGGGGTGGGGCGTGTAACTACCTTAGGGGTAAGGACACCTGAGTAGGATCTTTCAAATGCTAACCAACCACTCCTGAGTCTATATTCCTGATTAGGATAATTCAAATGTTAACTAACCACCCCCAGAGTGTGGATTAAAACTAATTTACAATGAGTTGAATAAATTGTTTATCAATATGAATAATCATTGCCTGTTCTTTCTCCACTTCAAAATATATACAAAACCCACCCCTCCCTTCTTCCTACCTCCACTGCCCCCACCCTAGACCAATATTTCAAAAGATTATTTTTTAGACAATACACCGTTTCATTAAATCATTGATTCTATGAATCCAAGATGTCCATAGGTTGTAAAACCCATCATTCTCTTACGCACCAAGAAAGAAAAATTGCTCTTAATTAAACTATGCTGTACCATTAATGGTAAAATTCATCCCAATTTCAGAGGTGATGAAAAGTGGGAAAATATGCATCTTAGAAAAAACAAGGTATATTACACAGCTGATACTGAAGTGTTTTGAAGTAAATTATAGGCAATATAAAACATTGCACACATACAATATAACATGGCGAGGAGTTTGGATTTTATTTTAAATGTGATAGAAAGCTGTTTTGAGCAGGGAAGAGATGTGATCTGGTTTTCATTTTTTATACGTATACTCTGGTAGTTGTGCAAAGAACAGATCAGGGGAGAGGTGGATGTGACCAGAGAGGCTTGGTCTAGGGTTGGAGCAGTGGAGGTAGGAAGAAAGGGTGGATTTAGTAAATACTTTGAAGAGGAAGAAGACCAGTAATGTTCGTTCATATTGATAAACAATGTATACAACTCATTAAGCAAAAAGAAAACATTGCTACAAATCTAAATAATTCTTAACTCTTGTTTTGACATTCATTAAGTCAGTACTACTGAATCTCTTTGACTTTCAGAAGCTCTGCCAATCTTTCATTAGCTGCAGCTAAGTCCCACCTCCAGGTGCCAGTATTTCACTTCATTGTAAAGGAGAAAGCAGCATGAATGACTAGTACAAGGGTGGGAGGGAATGACTGACAACAGCCCCTTGTGTGAGCCTTCTCCAGGGACATTGATATTTTCATATGGGTGCTTTAAAATACAAAGTAACTATGTGTATTAGTTTGTTCATGCTACCTTAACAAAATAGCACAGAGCGCGTGGCTTAAACAACAGAAATTAATTTTGTCACAGTCCTGGAGGCTGGAAGTCCAAGATCAAGGTCACCATCAAGTTGGTTTCTAGTGAGAGCTCTCTTCCTGGCTTGTAGATAGCTATCTTCTTGCTGTGTCCTCACATGGCATTTCCTCTGTGTACATGGAGAGAGGGAAAGAAGAAGAGACAAAGAGGAGAATGGGAGGGAGACAGGGAGACTGGAACACCAGCCTTATCATATTAAGGCCCCTTCCTTATGACCTCAACCTTTATCACCTACTTATATGCCTTATCTCCAATACAGCCTCATTAGGGGTTAGCGCTTCAACATATGAATTTTGGGGACACACAATATAGTCCACAAGATTACCATTCTTCAAAATATATTAGGGACATAATTTGAAGTACGGAAAAAACTTATGAATAAAGATGTTCATTGCAGCATTATCTGTAGTGGTCAACAAAAAGGAAATAAGCTAAATGCTCAATAACAGAATAGTCAAATCAATTATAGCATATCTACACAGTGGAACACTACACAACTATTTAAATGAATGTAACAGGAAAATGTGTATGATTTGAAGTTAATGGAGAGAAAAACCAAGATATCAGAATAATCACAACACTGTATAATCTGGCATGTAAAAAGCCTGAAAGGAAATATAGCAAAATATTAAATGTGGCAATTGATAAGTAATGAGTTTCTTTGTGATTTTTTTGATTTTCTGAATTTTCTACGTTTTTATAATGTGCATCATCGCTTTTATATTTTAATTTTTAAATTTTTTATCAAAGTTATGCATTATCATAGTTTACAGAGTTTAAAAGTTCTACAAGTTTTGTTATGAAAAACAGTGCCCTTTTCCCTTCCCCATAATTTCCCACTCTCCAGAGGCAAGAGTTTTCAACTCTTTTAGCTGATTCTTTTGGTATTTACCTTGGTTCTCTAAGTAACATTATTTTATTGCTACTTCTTGAATTTTAAGTTTTTGACATTGTCTATTGGCATTACCTACACTCACCCTGCCCTCCCAGTTCACCCAAAGACCCTTTTTATCCCTACATTTTTCCAATATAGGCATATCATAATTTTGGTTAGACCACTATTCAATGTTTACAGTATGGTGACCAAGGAAACTTTATTCACAGCCACGAAGTCACAAATACTTTTCCTTACTTGCACAAGTTTTTGTGTTTCCTGGAGCTCATAATTATTTTGTTTTTTCTTTAAATAATTTTCTATGTACTTAGCAAGAATTCAACTTTAAACTCTTGATCAGTTACCTCCAGCTCCTCTCCATGTGTTTTGGTGTATCAGGTATCTTGAAGATATCTCTCCTGAAGTCTTCTGACCTGTATGAGCTAGTTGACCTCTATTCCTTCTTTGTGTGCAGCTGTCATCCTGGAACCTACCTTCACCCTCTTCTGGAGTTTCCCTTTTGCCTCTTTCTTATGCTGGATCATCCCCCCACTAACCCAAGTCCTTCTGCTTTCTTGGTTTAAAGCGGTTTCAAACAGGGAACTATACTGAATATCCTGTAATAAACCATAATGGAAAAGAATATAAAAAATGTATACATGTGTATAACTGAGTCACTTTACTGTACAGCAGAGATTGGCACAACATTGTAAATCAACTCTACTTCAATAATTTTTTTTTTAAAGTAAGAGGTTTAAAGAAATTTCTTTCTTGGTTTCAAGAGGTGTATGAGGGGTAAATTTTTGAGACCTTGCTTATCAGAAATTGTATTTGTTCTATCCTCACACTTGATTGACAGCTTGACTGGGTACAGAACTCTAGGTTAAAAATAATTATTCTTCAGAATTTTGAAGGCATTTTTGCTCATCTCCTAGTTTCCAATGTTGATATTGAAAAATCCAAAGCCATTGTGATTCCTGATCCATTATATGTGACCTGTTTTTATCTCTGGGAGCTTGTAAAGTCTTCTTTTTAACCCAACGTTGAGAAATTTTATGAAGCTGTGTTTTGGTGTGGGTCCATTTTCATCAGTCAAGGATATTTCAACCTGGAAACTCATGACCTTCAGTTTGGGGGAAATTTCTGGACTATATTAAACATTTTATTCCCCTCATTTTCTCTTCTCTCTAAATAGAATGCCTCCTCTTCTGATATTGGACCTGCTGGACAGGTCCTCTAATTTTCAAATATTCTTTCTCCTATTTCAATCTTTGTCTTTTTGCTCTCCTTTCTGAGAGATTCCTTCAACTTTATCTTCAACTTTCCTATTGAATTTTTCCTACTGTCATATTTTTATTTCCAAAGAGCTCTTTGTTATTCTGATTTTTCCTTTTAAAAAAGTGCAACCCATTCTTACTAATGGTTTCTCTTAACTCTAGGGATACTAACAATAGTTCTTTTTTTAAAAAAAAATCTTTTATTCTCCCTATGTAGCAGACACCTGGTGTACATTGCTTCACATTCTTTCAGCCCACAGTTTAGCCCAGCCATTGCTGTGGCAACCAGTCTTTTGTAGGAGTAATCTGACAGTGCCTCACTTTAGCTGCACCAAGAATTGCTTCAACGCCCTAGAGCTCTTCTGACCTACAAAGTTATGCTTGGGGAAATCAGCTCTGCACTGCAGTCTACATAACCCAGAAGTGCATGGTAGTTGACATCCTTGACCAATGAAGGATGGGAGCCAGTGGATTAATGCTCTCCCTTTTCATAACTCAGGAGGAAAATTCTGAGATAGGTTCAACATAGCTCCTCAGAAGGTACTAGCAAGATAGAACACCAGTTGCCAACAGCAGTGACTACTTGATAATGCATCCTTTCCTTCCTTCCCTTTTTTACTATCCCAGGTCTCTCATTCTTGTTTCCTGGGATTACTTCCCAAAATAAATCACCTGCAGGCAAGCCTTTACCTCAAGCTCTGCTTTGGGGTAGAGGAAAGAGACTGTAAAACTTTACATTATCCACTTTTGCTATGTTTACGTGGGCTACTATCTTTCATATTAGAGATTTTGTTCAGATGTGTACTGACCTTTGGCCATCTGATTATAATTAACAATGGGAAGCTAAAAAGCTAATTGGAAGTTCAAAGCCTGTAGTTGGTGTTTGTCAATTGTGACACTGTAGGATAAGGTAGTTAGGCCATTTCATTGGGGAACACTTGGCATCAATATATTTAGGTCTTTATTCTTGGGCTCTTCTGATTCTCCAGAGAAGAGTCTTCCAGTCTCCTATCTGGAGGATACATAACTGGCCACCAGCTTTCTGGAAACTGAGTGGGGAAGAGGGCTAAAGTATCAGCGTTCAGTATGTAAACATTCACTTAGTCTCTCTGTTTCTGGTTGGATACCTTTGTCCTCAATTGTATCTAGTATCCTTCCTGTCCAGACATTCTCTGTTTTACATTTTCCAGAAAACAAATCTTCAATCCTTTGTCAGGAAAAAGGACAGTTGCTATATGCATGGAATGAAGGAAGGATTCCAGGGATTTGCTTTTTCCTGATCCCTTTTGGGGGGCAGTACAAATTGGTCTTTTTTCTTGCTATTGTTATAAGGTTCAGCTTTGTCAGATCTGCTGAGTAAATTATCCATTTCACCATTGTTTTCCAGCTTTCAAAATACTATCTATAGGGCTTCCCTGGTGGCGCAGTGGTTGAGAGTCCGCCTGCCGATGCAGTCCGGGAAGATCCCACATGCCGCGGAGCGGCTGGGCCCGTGAGCCATGGCCGCTGAGCCTGTGCTCCGCAACACGAGAGGCCACAACAGTGAGACGCCCGCGTACCGCGAAAAAAAATACTATCTATGCTATCTTCTTTCCTATTCCCTTCAGTCTTGTGGGTTATGCCTTTTTAAAAAAATCCCTTCATTGTCATTTTTTATATATTAAACACACATATTCTGGATACTAATCCTTTTGTTATTATTTTGCAAGTCTTGGAGGTTTTCTTTCACTGTCATTTAAATGGGGCTTGGTGAAGGAGCAAAACCAAATTCATATGTTCAATCTGCCATGTTTAAGTGGAACCATGTTTTGCTTTTATAATTTAAAATATATATTTTCACATACAAGTGAAAATTTCCAGAAGAGTAAAAGTCTAGTGGAAAACATCTTTTGGGCCCCGGAGTCTTCCCAGAACCCTTCGGATCACAACGTTTAGACTACCACTGAAACATCAAGTCAGCTCTGGGGAAAAGCTTTAATGAGCTGCAGTACCCAGCATGTACCATGGATAGAAATAAGTGATAGGATACTGTGAAAATTTGCCATTATATCAGAAAGTGCTTTCGGTTCCTCTCTCAGCTTGCTAATTCAGGGTCCCTGAAGCGGCTGAATAGACGATGTTTGCATGACATGATTTCAGGAAAAGGTCTCACCCTCAAGTTTGTATCCTCCCTTCATTCTGCCATTGCCACCCTCCCTGGTGCCTGAACTTCTTTTAGCCAAAGACAGAGCCTTTCTTTTCACAGTCAGAGGACAAACTCTCCAGGAGAGAAATGTGATAACATATGGTCACAAGAGGCTATTGATAGGTGCAGAGACCACCAGCGTTCTGAGTATTTGAGGTCAGAGAGAGGGCACCTTGAAGAAGGGCTGGGAACACAAGAATAAGGGAAGGTCTAGAAAAGAAAACCTTGGAACATTGGTAATGAACACTTTCTACCTCACAGTATTGCCAAAGCTGGTGGGGGGTGGAGCCTCAGCTTGTTATAGTTTAGAAAACACTTTCTTCACACTTCTGAAAAGTCAATATTTCAGTTCTTAAGCCTGCTGACCTGCCATAAGATGGCAAGAGCTCCAAGGAGACACTTGGAGAAGCAGTGAATGGGAGTGAAGACAGTGCCTCAGATGAAAGAAATATCAACAACAATAACAATAACATGTTTGTCTTTTGGATGCCTCCAATGGGTTTATTTCAAATTTGACAATAGTGAACAGAAAACAAGTACTTCGGGGAAGTATAAAGATGCACATCTAATGTCTCATTCTGCCTTGTGCATACTGGTCTATGCCCTTCAGTCACAGGGTCATAGGCAAGATCATATGATTGGTATAGATGGCGGACAATGAGGACTATTTGCAATCAGGCTGTCAGGGCTGTTTAACATGTTTCGGAACCTAC